ATACAATAAATCGGCCGATCAATGGATTGAAAAAATTTAGAATACATAACTATCGAAATCGAGATAACTCGAGATCGGCCGATCTTGATTTAGTCGGCTGATTTTAAAAAAATTGGCCGAAATTTTAAACAATGGGTCAAACAATACTCATCAAAACTCCGTTTTTATTAGGATTTTTTTTAGCAAAAATACTCTCATGTCTTAAAAAGGTTTTTAAAAATACGATTTTGATATTAAATTAAGGATAAATGAATTATTGTCGTCATTTTAGACAAAGCTATTCAAGGAAGCTTTTACTTGAGGGTGAGGTTTGTGTAAGGTTCCCATCGTACGCTGTACGGGTTGAAACCTTATTATGGCTTGGAGATCCACATTCACCCCTTCTAAATAACGGCGCAAATCAAGTACGCATGTGCCCATCGATTGATCAAAGCCACCGGCACTGAAACATTAATTTTTTTCTTTGGATATAAACACTTGAGAATCTTAAAAATAGATGTTCTACTACAAAATGCACTATTTTGGGTATTTTTAATTTTTTTTTTCTTTATTTCCATACATATCGAAATGGAGATGATCAATAGGAGGTTTTTCCAATTTTAAAACTCTCTTTTCTACTGGATTTTTGAGGTGCAACTTACTTTTATAATATCATTACTTTAATTTGTTCTATTTCATTATTTTTTCTTGTCAATATACCGAGTGCTATGTTCACTTGTTATAGCTCCTTTGGAGCTTCGACAAGGTACTAACTTTCGTTTATTATTTTCTTAATTACATTACGAGCTTAGATTTGTAGTTGGTTTACTTGAATGTTATTATAATTGCACAGTCTAGCCTACATATATGGCCATACATATATCGTTTTTAAACTTCACTATTTTTAGTCAAATCCATACCGTTCAAGTATTTTCCACTTAGTGATTTATATGGTGTTTTAAAACCGAGATAAGTTAGGTGGATGTCCACCCCTATAGATCAGTGTCAGGTCGCTAGGTGATCCAATCCGGTCCATATCAAATATCCAGAAAAAAACTAAAAACTTATGAATAAATTAAAAACTAAAATAAGGGTTTATGCCGTGGGGATTTAAGAAACATAATGAAAGGGTTTTTTTTTTTTTTGGTTAGAGGTGGGGGGAGGGGAGGACCAAGCCGGGACCTATACCTTCCCAAAACTGACTCCATTCCAGTTGATTCCTAGTTCGAATTGGTGGTTCTCATTCCAGATCGTGGGGTTTTAAAACTCAATCTTACGACAATTCCTTTTCCCAGACTAGATTATTGACTCCATTTTTATTGGCCCATAACTGAATTGCTATTGTTTTTTTTCTTTTCTTTTTTTATGTCAACTTAAGCTAATTTTGCTTCATGCTTGACCGATATATTGCTAACTTTAGCTGAAACAGTACACGCTCAGGTGTCTGACTATAGAGACATTAGTTGGAGAGTTACATTACATATTAATTGGGGTTAGACATCAGTTGAAAATAAGACACGCCAAAGCAACCCCACACCTTATTCACCATTTTGTGGTTACGTTTTGTTGTGTTAGCTGTAGTAATGAGACGTTCAAATTTTTAAAACTCATGCTAACTAAACGTGACACTTCTTTTCAAAAGATATCTCTCTATGTCTATAACTTTCTAACTTATTATCCAAAAATATCTCTATCCTGCACTACTATTTTATTTGAAGTAAGACATTCAGTATAGATTATTCTAAACTTTCCAGAGATAAAGAAAGATGATATATTCATATAAATATAAAAATTTCCTTCTTTCCTTCTTTTTCTCTTTCTTAAAATTCTGATCTATTTCTTAAAATCTTAGAAAATTTTCCTGCTTTAAAGTTTCTTTCTTAAATTCTTTCTCATATATGCCTTTTTTTCTTCTCTCTCCAAATGTTAAGTCTCTCTCACGTCTCTCCCCCCTTCACACTCAAAGATTTTTAAAGAGAGAAAAAACAACCTATTTGTGAAAGGAATTGTCTACAACGAGATCATTTTTCTCTACGGAATGTATACAATGAGATTATTTATCTTTGGTCATAATTCCTTACAACCAGCGTTTTAAAAATCGCCGAGTCAAACCGGACTCGCCCAGTTCGACTCGAAATTCACAAAAAAGGGACCTGATCGGTTCAAAAACCGGGAATCGTCCGGTTCTAGAGAGAACCGGACGATTCCGCACAGTGACTCGCCGATTCACTGTGCGGAATCGGCGAGTCCGTGAAGAACACGGGTTGCACAGTGTTCTTCACGGATTTTTTTCAAATTTGTCATTTTTTGATCATTTTTTTTGTTTTTTTCAGCACGTGATCTGTTTTGCAGGCTGTAAACAGCTTTATTCAGCTTTTTCAACGATTTAATGGTGGAAAAATTGGTTGTTTTTGGATCAAGAAAAATTCGGGGTTTAGGGTTTCCTCC